TATGTATATATATATATATATATAATACATATATATATTCTCTTTTAATTAATAATTTTTTTTATAGAATAATAAAATTTCAGTTTATTATATTGATAGAATAAAATATAAAATAGATTAATTAAAATAAAAATTCATTACCCTATTAGATGCAAAATATTTAAATTAATTTATCTTTTTAACTCAGTTTAAAGTTTCAATTTAAATTTGTTTAAGTTGTAAAAAGCAGATTACATCATATATCATCATTGATCATATAATAAAATATATTTAGAATTAAATGCATACATAATCAAAAATATTAATTTCGTAGATGAAATAACATTGTAAAATATATATATATATAGATAAGTAATGAGCAAAATAGTAATATTTTGTGAGAAGCTTATTTCTTTTATATTCTTTTCTTTTTTTTTTTGTCTTTTTAATTATCAATTATTTTTTATTTTCATGATAATAGTATATAGTATAATAATATAGTAAAAATATAGTATAATAATAATTTTCATAAAATGTAAAATATTAATATAAATTAATAATAAAAAAAAATAAAAAATCTCATAATTTAGATTTTATTTTCAGATTTAATCTTTCACAGCAGTTTTACAACTTCTTTTTTTTTTGCTGTTTATGTTACAATCAAAAGTTTTATAAAAGTATATCAGAAGAAGAAATTTGAAAAGAAATAAATTTTCATAAAAAAAAATTGGATAGGATATTATAATTAAGCTCTAATTTACAACTAATTGACACTTCTAAACAATAAGAAGTGAAAAATCATTATTATTTAATATACAATATATAATTATATCATTATATTGTATATATATATTGTATATATTGATAGTATAATCATTTATGAGAAATAATGAAGTAATTGGCTGCGAGCATGATTATATTTTTCATAAATAAATATTTTATTTTTATTAAGATGATAAATATCTATCTTTTTTATATTTATACTTTTTTTACTATTTGCTTTCCTTGTTTGGACTATTCTAGAAATGATTCTGATTCTTTAATTTTTAATCAAAATATCAGTTTTGCCATTTTTTAAATAATAGATTAGATAAAATAAGCAATATATTTTTTGGCATATATGTCGCGTTTTTGCATTATAATTTGTGTTTCAGAAAAATATAATTTGAAAAATCGGATATGAAACTGATAAGAATTGTATTCGTTTTTTAATTTTGCTTATAAATTTTTTTAATTTCACAATCGCGATTACGAAATAGATACCGAAACGAATATTTAACAAGAGATTCTGCATGTACGGATGTCGATCATTGTGATTATTGATCGTTCATGAGCATTTCTTTTGATCGTTTTGTTGACGATTTGATTTTTTTTCATTTGCGATATCGAATTTTATTAATATAGTATTAATGTATTATTATATATTAATATAATATTTTTTAATTTTTAATTTTGAATTGCAAAAATATTTTTTCATTAATTTTTTAGTATGCAATTTATACCGAAATACTTAAAATAGTTTTTTACATATTTACAATTTATATTAAATTTATTTCAAAAATCAATATTGTTATATTGTTGCAATATGCTTGTTTCAACAATTGGCTTAATAAATAATTTATTAATTTACATTTTTTTGCAATTAATATTTTATTCACATGTTTAAATTTCTTGCATTGATCTGTATATATATATTTTTATTTCTATAAAAATCATATAATATGATTAAAAGAATAAGTATAGAATACAGAAAATAATCAATACATTATATAGAATATTAATATGAACTGAATAGCTTTAACTTCAATATCAATTTAAATTAGTTAAAACTTAATAAATAACTCTACACAAACAAAAATTTTTGTTTTGAATAAAATCTCATAAATTCTCTCATAAAATCTCAATTCTCATAAATATCTCATGAATATATTAATATCTTGTACATTTCTATTGACAAACAACATAGAAAAAAAAGTTT